CTGGCTCCAGGCACACAGGCGGAGGGCAAGAGGGTTGGACACGAAGCCACAAGCTACTTGGGTTCCTTCTTCTTCTCGTTTGCCTTTTTCTGCTTCTGCTGCATGATCTCCGAGTCCCTCTGCTTGCGGGCAGCAGCAGAAAGCCCGTCATCTCGGCGCTTTCCCTTAACCGAGTCGCTCTGCTTTCTCATATTCTTCTGGCGGGCAAGCTCGCGTTGGTTACCGTGGGTCATGGCGATGGCAGCGGCTCCGGCCTGCCTAGGTTGCGTCCCCTTGTTCTGTCTCTAAACTAACTTGCTTAGCAGTATTTTAACCTAAGTGGGATTTTGGATTATTAAGCAAATAGGTTGCATCAGGCTACAGTAACAAGTGTAATTTCCATATGTGGTTAAACTAGATCTCATTTACATGTCAACTGCTGTATGTGTCATTAGAATAATTTCATAAGGTAAAAGTAAAAATTAATGTTATTTCCAGAGACCAAAACTTTAAACTTTTTTCTTTCTTGGGCTGTAAAATGCCACCTAGATCTTTGGTCATAATATAATTAAAAAATAAAACAAAACCTAAGCTCACTGTGTTATGCTTCGGTTAGCCAAATTCCACTACAGTAGAATTTGATGAAGAAATGTAGGTGAAGAAATACTACTTTTCAAACTAAGCCAAGGCAGGGAATTAAAATGTGTTTGTTTTTCTTCCAGTACAATTGTTTCAGTATACACTTTAATTTTAGTCTATCCACTCAATTTCTGCTACTTAAAAAAACATACCTACTGCAGAACACTAAATAAAATTAGTTATTATTTTCATAGTCTTTGTTTCAGGCTAAGAATATTTGATTGAAAACCTTTCAGTCATTATAGGTTAACAGAATATTGGGTCCAGGTGTGCCAAACCTACAGCCTAGGGGGGATGCATAACTTCTGTATTCTGTAGTGGATCCAGATGTGTCTTGATTCCTAATGTTCATGCATATTTTGAACTCATAAAATGCAACCCAAACATATACCCTGGATCTTTTAATAAACACAAAAGGGAGGCTATATGCAATGTATTTTTACAGTATTTACAATGTAGCCCCAGACATAGCCATGATTGAGAAAGCAAGGTTTTGTAACAGGTTACCCAAAAAATATCTCCTGTTATTGTTCAGTGATCATCCTCTAATAAACTGAAAAGCACGTATGCTTGCAATGATGTGTTTTTAACCAGTCATGTCACCCCACATATACATTATCAACCTTTCACGGCTAAATCCATGCTTAGATATCCCGCAGGTGCTCCCCTGCCCCGCCCCCACCCCACCATCAACTCTAAATTCTTTCAGTCAATTAGGTTTTGTAACTTTAGGTTCCTGTTCCAACTATATAAAAATGTTTCATCTTCATTGTCTGGTGGAGCAGGTGTCTTTTACTTTGTCAAATTAGATGTCTTGCCTGTCTAAACAATCGCTACCGCTCAATAAACCTCCATTGCTTTTACTGTAAGCAAATGCTGTGGTATCGTGCTGTAATTGTAGGAGAGTGTGTTAGTCTGGATACATTAGAGAAACAAATCCACAGAAATTCATATGCATAAGAGAGTTTATATAAGGGGTAAGTGCACATCAAGAAAACATTCCAACCCAGTGCTACCCAAGCCACAAGTCCAAAACCCATATGTCTGACACCAATCCACAAAGTTCTCCTCTATCTCACAGAGCACACACTATGATGCCCAATCAATGAGTGTGTAAGCATCTCAGCACTGTCAGGGGTCTCCACATGGCTGCTCCAGCACTCAGGGCTGCATCGGGGCAGGTCCATGTGGCTTCTCCTGAGAGATGTCTTAAAGGAAGTAAGCCTTGCCAGCTGAAGCAGGGAACTGGCTAAGGCAGCTGCACCCTGGTCCAACCATCACAAAGCAAGGTACCAGAGAACTAGAAAGGTGAGGCTCACTGAGCCATTTATCTCTCTGCCCTTCAGTTGACCCCACATGTGTTTATCAGCCAGGTTGACACAATAAACTTTATCTCAGAGAGCTAAAAATTAGGAAACATCTGAAAATAGGTGTTTGTCCATATCTTGCTAAAATATCTTTAATAGTAAAGTTACTATCCTACAGTTCATTCTTTGACCCTATTTTCTGCCAAGGAGTAAAATACCTTAAGTAACAAGATAGAAATCCTTAAGTGCAGATGATCATCATTATTACGCAGTGGAGTTTAAAAAGAGTGCTGAGACAGAATTTTCTTTTTGGATCCAGGGGATTGAGACCCCCCACCGATGACCCTATGGCTCAGGGGAAGGAAGGAAGAGTATTTCTCATTGGGTATCTATGGTGTGAACTGGGAGGAAAACAAAACAAAAGTGAGGGGATCTTTCCTAAAGTTGGATGGCACGAGCTCGCAGAAAAAATGAATTTTATTGATGAACCATGCCGAGGTTTCACAGCATTCAGCTGTGGGTTGCTGGTTACCGAGTAAAGCACAGCTATACTTTAATCTTAAATTGTTTGGCAACTCAATGGGACCCTCAGGCAGAAGGGGATTTGGGTATCATAATTTGATTGGGGGAAAGAAACACCATCTGATCAATTAATGAAAAGAACACTGAGATAGGTAATCTTTCCCCTTATTATGAAAATAAACAATAAGATTCCTATGGAGAAATTTAGCTTTTATTTTGAGTAAACACAGTCCCACTTGCTAAGGAAATCTGTCTGCCTGCATTCAGACGGGGGCCTCAGGGAATTACTTAGAAGTGGGGTTGGAACAGGAATAGTAATTTCCACATTGGCAGCAAAGAGAGCTGTATTTTTTGTTGTTGATTTTTGGCTGAAATTTTGAGGGGCTTGTAGGGCCTTTATAATGAGTTAAATTATAAAAACGTTTAAAGAAATATTTTAAAGATATTTCTTAGAAAAATGTATGCATTGTTTTTCAAGGGAACATTTTCTATTAAGTTTCAATAATGGGCTGGTTCACTGCCATAATTTGGGCTAAATTGCTACCAGTTTTTATTAAATACCAATTTTACTGCATTATCAATATAGCATCTGGAATGCTGTGCATTTGAACTCACATTTTTCTGTAGGTAGGTAACCCAATTATAATAATTACATTATGTGAAATATATTCGTTCTCCCTTGCTACCCATAATTTATTTTGCCTGCTTTTGTAGCTTTGGGTGAATGTTCAGTCAGAGAGCAGTGAAAAAGTACTTTTCAATCTTATCACTATTGGGGCATATAATGCTGGATAAACATTTCCACTTATTTTTTAATCATTCAGACAGTAAGCCAAATTCTATAAAGTATCGTTAGAAAAATTGTAAGTACTTAAAAGGGAAGAGTTAAGAGAGTTTGTGTGTGTGTGTGTGTGTGTGTGCATCTGCATTTCTGCTGTTCCTTTCGTTACTGTCAACTTGAATCCCTCTTTCTCTATTTTTATATTTGAAAATGAGTTTGTAGTGAGACAAGAGAGTAAAATCTGGACTATAAACTGTAATCAAATACACAATATACTTAGAAGAGAACTGAACATTTACTATTTCCTAGGACTGAGTGAATAGCCAGGGTGGTTGTCTTGTGAAATGTGGAATGTTAAATGATAAATTCAAAGCATTCAGAAACAGTGACTCTACAAATCTGGCTCATCTTCAAGACAATGACTCTCTCCAATATTTTCAGACGCTTAATTCTTAGAAATTAAATTAATTTGGGGAAAGTAGTCATAGTCATGATGCTCAGAGGAAATACAAACTACTAAAAGTAATTCTGCTCTCCGTCTTAATGGTAGTAAAAACCTTATTTTTCTCCTGCTGATCTTCTAATCACCATTTAGGAGCCCAACAGCAAGGCTTTTGAGGCATCGCTCCTCTTTATAAGTACTCCTTGTGTTCCTCGAAGTATTTCCCACTGCCTGTTCCTGGAGAGGAGGTCTCCTGGTACTGTGCATTAGGCATTGAACTGCTAACTGCCAAATTAGTGGTTCACACTTACCAGCTCCTCTGTGGGTGAAAGATGAGGCTGTTTGCTTCTGCAAGAATGTATAGTCTCAAAAACTCTATAGAGGGTTATTATGAGTTGGAACTGACTCAGTGGAAAGAGCTTGGTTTAGGGGTGTTAGGAGGGAGGATTTTTCAAGTGTCCTAGATGGTTAAACACTTAACTACTCAATGAAAACAATGCTGTTTGATTCTGCCTAGAGGGAGGAGCTTCAGAAGAAATACATGATATCTACCTCCAAAAGGCCACAGCCATGGAACCTTATGAAGCACAGTTCTCTGCTGACACACGTGAGGTCCCATGAATCAGAATCAGGTTATTGGTGACCTTTTTGAATTTGAGTTTTGAAATAAATAATTTAGATAATGATCAACACACAGAGAAACTTGATCTTACTGTTTTTGGAGAATATTAGAAATACAGAAATTGAACATGAAATGGGGAATATAGGAAATATAGAAAAGAAGAGGAATCTGGTCCTCAGAATCTGCATGGTCAGTAATACATCATGCTTACATATCTTACATACTACAGAACTATACATCAGACACACACACACACACACACACACACACTCCCTGATTGGGGAAACACCAACCCAGTGCTAGAAACTGGGAGTTAATTAGAAAGAAGATTCCAGGTGTAAGTAATCTTGGAAAACATCCTTAATTAAAAATGCCCTTTTCTTTCTTTCTTTCTTTTTACTTTTAATGCATACAGTATCAATAGGTTTCTTTGTGTTTTAAACTAAAAACTATTATTTCAATATAGCTTAGGATAGAAAAACCTGTGCTAAAAAAATAAAATAAAATAGGCCTGTAACTGTCCTTCTCTCACCCGGACTCCAAGGGAAGTCTGGTTTATGGCTGAGCTTCTGCTGTTGGACAAGGTCTCAGCCCTTCAGAGATCTGCACACCTGTGGGAGAGAGGAGGCCTGTGGTCCACCGCAGTCGTAGTGTCCAAGCTTGACTTTTCTGTTGGCCAAACTTAAATGTTAACAGTTTGCTGGTTCTTTATTTAACTAACCTTACCTGGGTTAGGAAACCCAGTTTCCTAAATGCTGTCTCTGTGAGTGAAGACTACATAAATAATCAGGCTTTCTTTCAAAATGTGTTGATGTGTTATGCAAAATAAGTGAGTTGGAGCATTCTCCAGTTTGGCAAAAGGTCAAATAATTACTTTTTTACACAATCATAGAAAATTAAAGTCAAACTGATCAATAGAAAGGGAAAGTCAAATTAATCCT